TGAAAAAACCCCACAAATTTGTAGCATTGAAAAGCAAATTATGAAACAGAATATTTTGATATTTTCAGTCAGGGTTAAAATCACTCTTCAAATTAATAGACCATTGGTCAGTTTAACAGGTTTCTGACCCTGCATGATTGTTGTATCTACAGAAAAGGGAAGATTTTCGGGTGTGGCAGGGATTTTATTTGGCTGCAAGCATGCATGATTATGATATCTAATAGAAAAGAGGTTAGGACTGAGGTAGCATATAATTAGTTGTCATTTCTGTGTGTTAGTGTAGATTTCAGGTCGTGATATATACATATGTCGTATCATTTCATTCGGGATATTCTGACACCACATGTGTATACAAATGTCCATATATATATATATATATACATTACTAAATGGAATTCTTAAGGTGCTTGACCCAATAAACCTCTCGGTGTATAATGTATATGTCTTTTTCTACATTAATACGTGGTTCCTATACCTAACAGGTAAACACATATATAATTCAGGTATGTGCTTAACGAATGAAAACTACCATGTATTTACATGGACTTACTAGTGTTTTTAAGTTTTGTAACAAGTTGTGAACTGTGAAAGCTGTGAATTTCAGCGTGAAACGTTTATACATATTCAGACGAGGTGTGTATTTACAGTGGTGAATTGTACACGGAGTTTTACTTTTTAAAACTTGAGTTTATTTGTGCAGTCTACCAAAACTTTACAGGAAATTGTTTTCCTGGAATTATTGGAGCATCAAATCTTCTGTACAGATGGACAGTTTTTATCTGTGTTTGATTTCAAGGAAATAGTCAATGATGACTTATTGGATGTGTGACAAATTGTGGATCACTGGAATAAACTGACCCTTGGGTCATAAGATACATTTGCACCTGTTAATGATAGCCAGCATGGTGAGTCAATCTAGGTGATATAGGTAGCTTCTCAGTAGGTCTGATATACAGGCAAAATTCATTTATTTCGTCAATTTAGAATATTTTATTAACAAATATTTCTCCATCCTCCTTTACCCATCTCTGTGTTTCCTTACCCTTTATCTTAAATTGTCCCATTAATTCATTTTGTCTCTCTTTAATTTGTCATTCTTCATTTTATCCCTCTTTAGTTTGTCCCTCTTCGCATCTTTCCACTTTGTCTCTCTTCACCCTGTCCCTCTTCACCCTGTCCTTCACTCTGTCTCTCTTCACCCTGTCCCTCCCTTTGTCCCTCTTCACCCTGTCCCTCCCTTTGTCCCTCTTCACCCTGTCCTTCACTTTGTCTCTCTTCACCCTGTCCCTCACTTTGTCCCTCTTCACCCTGTCCCTCCCTTTGTCCCTCTTCACCCTGTCCCTCCCTTTGTCCCTCTTCACCCTGTCCCTCACTTTGTCTCTCTTCACCCTGTCCCTCACTTTGTCTCTCTTCACCCTGTCCCTCACTTTGTCTCTCTTCACCCTGTCCCTCACTTTGTCCCTCTTAACCCTGTCCCTCACTTTGTCTCTCTCCACCCTGTCCCTCAATTTTTCTCTCTTTACCCTGTCTCCCTTCACCTTGTCCCGCACTCTGTCTCTCTTCACCCTATCCCTCACTCTATCTCTCTTCACCCTGTCCCTCACTTTGTCTCTCTTCAACTCTTTACATCAAACTGGTCTTAAAATAGATCATTTCAGAATTTCAGTATTCATATATTTCTAATTTGTATTTGAAGAAACAGGACTTTATAATGTGAAATTTAAACTTTCCATTCCTAGCAATCAACTTATGAAAACCATTTTTTGAGATCATCTAAAGCAGATATGCAGTACATTGTCATTAGGTCACTTTGACCTTGACCTCAAAGTCTAATGCCACAATATCTATATAAAGCATGCATGATCCTTGGAAACCTGTCAAACTCCATCCAAAGTATTAAAGCCTATTTAGGGATTTTAGTATAAGTGTAATGTCCTGTAGACACACTATTGTTAGTAGTGGTAATAGTAACACAATTTGTGTCTTGTTTATCTTTCCTACTATCAAAGCAGAGAGTTATATACATATTTGCTTGAAAGGGAGACATGTTTTTTGTTCATCAAAATAAATTTCTAGTGATGTTTTTTAATTGTTAACAGATAGATTACTATTAAAACTCCACTGATTTTAGCTGAGACTTAAAGCTACGCACAACTTGAGAAGAAGTTTAAGCACGTATAAAGTATTATGTCAATACCAGATTAAAATTTATAAGGGTCATGGTCGTACAATGACAGACACACTTTAACAACTGTTTCCTGGATTTAAAAAGGTGCCAGAGTCAACAACATTCCAACTGATTTTATGCCTCTCTACATACACTATACACGGCAAGAAATGCTGATGTTGTGTACGCAACACTACCTGTGTACGCAACACTATATGTGTAGGCAACACTACACATATAATACATGTGTACGCAACACTACACATACACTACATGTGTATGCAACACTACACATATACTACATTTGTATGCAACACTACACATACACTACAGGTGTATGCAACACTACACATATACTACATGTGTATGCAACACTACACATACACTACATGTGTACGCAACACTATACATAAACACTACACATACACTACATGTATAAACAACACTACATGTGTACACAACACTACACATACACTACATGTGTTTGTAACACTACACATACACTACATGTGTATGCAACACTACATGTGTACACAACACTATTTGTGTACACAACACTACATGTGTACACAACACTATTTGTGTACACAACACTACATGTGTACACAACACCTATTTGTGTACACAACACTACCTGTGAACCCAACACTATTTGTGTACGCAACACTGTGTGTTGTGTTTGCTTTTATAGGGAACAGTTCATATCTGGAACAATTTATTGTGAACACATGAATATCAGGAACAATTTATAGGCAACTCTGAGTTTAACACTGAACACTGAGTGTAACACTGGACACTGAGTGTAACACTGGACACTGAGTGTAACACTGAACACTGAGTGTAACACTGAACACTGAGTGTAACACTGGACACTGAGTGTAACACTGAACATTGAGTGTAACACTACACTGAGTGTAACACTGGACACTGAGAGTAACACTGAACACTGAGTGTAACACTGGACACTGAGTGTAACAGTGAACACTGAGTGTAACACTGGACACTGAGTATAACACTGGACACTGAGTGTAACACTGAACATTGAGTGTAACACTGGACACTGAGTGTAACACTGGACACTGAGTGTAACACTGGACACTGAGTGTAACACTGAACATTGAGTGTTACACTGGACACTGAGTGTAACACTGAACATTGAGTGTAACACTGGACACTGAGTGTAACACTGGACACTGAGTGTAACACTGGACACTGAGTGTAACACTGAACATTGAGTGTTACACTGGACACTGAGTGTAACACTGAACATTGAGTGTTACACTGGACATTGAGAATAACACTGGACACTGAATGTAACACAGGACACTGAGTGTAACACTGGACATTGAGTGTAACACTGGACACTGAGTGTAACACTGGACATCGGGTGTAACACTGGACACTGAGTGTTGAACACTGAGTGTTACATTGAACACTGAATGTAACACTGAACACTGAGTGTAACACTGGACACTGAGTGTAACACTGGACACTGAGTGTAACACTGAACATTGAGTGTTACACTGGACATTGAGAATAACACTGGACACTGAATGCAACACAGGACACTGAGTGTAACACTGGACATTGAGTGTAACACTGGACACTGAGTGTAACACTGGACATCGTGTGTAACACTGGACACTGAGTGTTGAACACTGAGTGTTACATTGAACACTGAATGTAACACTGAACACTGAGTGTAACACTGAACACTGTGTGTAACACTAAACACTGAGTGTAACACTGGCCACTGTGTATAACACTGGACACTGAGTGTAACACTGGACACTGAGTGTAACACTGGACACTGAGTGTAACACTGAACACTAAGTGTAACACTGGACACTGTGTGTAACACTGAAAACCGAGTGTAACACTGGACACTGAATGTAACACTGGACACTGAGTGTAACACTGAGTGTAATACTGGACACTGAGTGTAACACTGAACACTGAGTGTAATACTGGACACTGAGTGTAACACTGTACACTGAGTGTAACATTGAACACTGAGTGTAAAGAATACTTTATAATGACTAATTTTTTATATCGTAACCTTGACACACCATGACCATTCTTGTTAATTATCATTGAACATTGAGAAATCTTCAAACGGTTTTTTTTGTTTCTACAAGACAGGTATACACTCTACCGAAAACGAATTAGCTTTTTTTATGGAATTATTGAATACTGTGTATGTTACAGTGAACTGTATGTATACTAACCAATTTCTACATAAATCACTGTTTATAGTGACCACTGTCAATAATGACCATTCCTGTATTTATTATCTCTGTATTATAAAGTAAACACTGTATATAGTGATCACTGTCTACAGTGATCACTGTCTATAGTGACCACTGTCTACAGAGAACACTATATTTTGACCACAGTTGATAATGACCACTGTCTACAGAGAACACTATATTTTGACCACAGTTGATAATGACCACTGTCTACAGAGAACACTATATTTTGACCACAGTTGATAATGACCACTGTCTACAGAGAACACTATATTTTGACCACAGTTGACAATGACCACTGTCTACAGAGAACACTGTCTATAGTGACCACTGTCTACAGAGAACACTGTCTATAGTGACCACTGTCTACAGAGAACACTGTCTATAATGACCACTGTCTACAGAGAACACTATATTTTGACCACTGTCTATAGTGACCACTGTCTACAGAGAACACTGTCTATAGTGACCACTGTCTACAGAGAACACTGTCTATAGTGACCACTGTCTACAGTGAGCACTGTCTATAGTGACCACTGTCTACAGAGAACACTATTATTATGGTGTATGCTACTGTTTTACAGGATGGGGATGCTCATCAACAACTGGAGAACCTTAAAAAGACAAAGTCCGATCTGCTCAAAAAAATTACAGACCTCAAACAACAGATAGTAGAGATTGAAAACCAGGAGAATGAGGCCATACGAGAGGTATTTCTACAAACACTAATAGATATGATCTGAAGTCTTTGATTTCAATGGCAGTAGTCTAATTTATGGAGTTGGAAATCTTTAAAAATGTTCTGTTATAGGGTACATTATCTTTCAGGTTCAACTATAACTTTAAACAGTGACTATATGATATAATTTTATGTTATGAACACAACAGAACAGTTTAACTTTCCAATGGGGAAAGAGAAAATGGCATCAGCTCATTACACAGTAATGTTACAATACAACTACACTTCTGTAATTTCTTTTGTTTTGTGTTGCCATAGTAACACTGACACTGTTTTGTTATTGGTTACCTTTTCATATGTATGTGTTGCCATGGTTTCATTTGTTGTGGTTGCCATGGTTACAGTTGGAGATGGAGCGCGCCTTGCTGGAGGGAGAACACCAGACAGAAATGGACGAACTGCAGTCTGATCAGGACCGAATCAACCTCCTCAAACAGCGACAAGCTGAACTCATCGAACGCGCCACACAGGAACGAGAAAAGGTGAGTGCAGTGTCGGAAATTCTGTAACATCCAATCCTCATTGAGCATAAAATTACATTAATGTAAGCGAGTTATCTCCCTTAGTTTTAAAGTCTCTTTGTACTGAAGCAGCTAATTCCTGCATTTAGTGAGGTTTTAATTCAGGTTACCAAATGTATTTGATCTTTAGATAAAAAAAAAGGAAGAGAATAATGGTAGAACTATGAAAGCATTGAAGTTCTAGTTTTTGAATGCATTTCATTTTTTTTTTTTTTTTTTCATTGCTTGCATTTTCGAGAGGATAAGATTGGTTACACATTGCTCGCTTGTTTGGAGCTGCACTGGAAATTATTGGCTACATTTCTTAGCATCAGGTTGACGAGATTTACTACTGAACCAGGAACACCCTGATTAAAAACGTGTACTAACCAATTATTAAATGAACGTAACAGATGTGCATGATAAAGAAAGCTCTGATAGACAGATACAGGAAAATAGTTGTAGTTTGTACACAATGAATTATGATTGATTTTGAGGTATAAAGATGATTTTTTTTAATGATTTTGTCTCTAACAGCTAGACAGTTTATTGATTGTGTGATTTATTTATTTATAAGTAGTATAGAAAGCATTGTAAATTATTTTTTGCCAGAGTAATCTATACCTGTAAAATGAAAGCTTTGGACTGAAGTCTACCACTAGTGTGATGATAATGTCCTTTAATACATCTTATGATAAATCATAGCACGATATTTGAAAATGATAAAAAATGAAGGGCAGAAGATGTGGAAATTTCATTAAGAAGGACCTCCTTTAAAAAAAATGTGTTATTTCCCATATAAATAGATCAGATTTCATTCTTAGACAAACATATTTATTTAGACCTGCTCTTCCAATGTTATACCATATGGGTATGTGATATCATAATCACTATTTTACATTATTATGAAAAGCATTCACACGATTAACTGTAATATCACTACAATCACTGTAAGACAAGTTCAGTTTTTAATTAAAGGTGACGTAAGACCACAGGTAGGAACATGGCCCTATCAGGGGCAGGTAACTGGTCCTAGGTCATAGTCACCAGTGAGTTTGTATGTATACCTAAATATCCACTGAGTGTGTATTTTACTTTAGCAACACATTTCATCTTGCAATCAAAGACACTATAAGACCCATCCTTGACCATTTTAAGCTCTGCATCTTTCATAGTTTGGAAATAATCATTTTGTTCCAACAATAAGATTATTCTATTCGGATACAGGCTTTTTAAGAGAGGTGTACACCTGTAAATTTTACACCTGTAATATAGCCCCAGTTTACCTTTATCTCCCACAGATGAGACGACAGGTGGGTAATCACACATCTCCGTGTAATCTGTGTCTGTAGACTTGCACAAGTTCAACAAACTTAAAACATCATCTTTCGTTGGAAAAACTTCTTCTAAAAAGCATTGATCCGTTGATCATTTTGTTTCTCATAAATAAAAATAATTTTGATAAAGTAATTGATCATATGTCATCAAGATCAAGTTATGTTTAAAACAAATTTCCTAGTTTGGTAATTCAGTGGAAATGAACTTGTGAGGGTCTATTCTATGTGTACATTATGTAGTTGTAGAATGTGACACTGACCCCTATACTTCAGAGTAGACTGTTCCATGACAGTAGATGGGGCAGTCCACTTCTGAATCAACAGGGGTCGTGGTGGAAATGTGCATCTTCCAGCATCCTTAACAATGAACTGTATCTCTGCATATTCTACACTTACTGCTCCTTAATCTCTATGTTTTTATTTATTTTGATTTTTAGTTTTTAATGGTTTTAGTTGTGTGATAAATGGTTCTGTTGTTTAATGTTTTTGAGATTGATGGTTCAATTTAAGATATATCTTTTAATAAGGAATGATTGTAGGGCAAATTACCTTCTTAATCCAACCTTCTCCGCACCCCAAAAGTATGTCACGCGTAGCACATACACAATGGCCATACAACCTTCTCCGCACCCCAAAAGTATCTGACGCGTAGCACATACACAATGGCCATACAACCTTCTCCGCACCCCAAAAGTATGTCACGCGTAGCACATACACAATGGCCATACAACCTTCTCCGCACCCCAAAAGTATCTGACGCGTAGCACATACACAATGGCCATACAACCTTCTCCGCACCCCAAAAGTATGTCACGCGTAGCACATACACAATGGCCATACAACTTTCTCCGCACCCTAAAAGTATGTCACGCGTAGCACATACACAGGGACTTGAGCTGATTCACAAGCTACCATCAGCTATTTATTATAAGAATTAGCACACAGGTGCCTGTTTTTTTTGCTAAGGTTGAACTCTTTAAATTCTGCACTCAGCATACAAATTTTTCAAAAGTGTTTTGTATTTTGTATTGTCATCAATCACCACCCCACCTACAAACTTGTCATCAGGACAATTCAAACAGGAGAGCTGATGTTAAACACATTCTTTTTCCAGCTTATCTGGTTTATTTAGTGTGTGGGTGAGGTCAGTTGTTAAACACTTCTTGAAACTGCAATGCAATCACACAAATGTCAAATTTCAAAAACATTTTAGCAAACAAAGATAATTAAAAGAATTTACACTGTTAAACAGCTAACTGAGAATATTACTGATGTACACAGTCGTACAGATAGAGGATCCAAGCTATAGGATTGAATGAAAGAACTGGTATATAATTATAAATCAGAAATTCTGTAGTTCCTGGATCTGACGTCTCAAATGACAATAATTATAAACATTATCATTGTATCACTGAGACCGGTATAGAGGATCATACTGATCCTGCACTGGTAATAAACTAAACTAAATTATGTCTGACTTGAGAGTGACCAGTTGTTAATGAATGGGTGATAGAAGACAAGTCCCTGTGTACTGTTGGTGATATAGAGACAGGTCCCTGAATACTGTGGGGTAACATAGAGACAGGTCCCCATGTACTGTTGGTAATGTAAAGACAGGTCCCTGTGTACTGTTGGTAATGTAGAGACAGGTGCCTGTGTACTGTTTTTGAAGAGACAGGTCCCTGTGTACTGTTGGGTAACATAGAGACAGGTCCCTGTATACTGTTTTTGAGGAAACAGGTCCCTGTATACTGTTGGGTAACATAGAGACAGGTCCCTGTGTACTGTTGGTAATATAGAGACAGGTCCCTGTGTACTGTTGGGTAACATAGAGACAGGTCCCAGTGTACTGTTGGGTAACATAGAGACAGGTCCCTGTGTAATGTTGGGTAACATAGAGACAAGTCCCTGTGTGCTATTGGTAATAAAGAGACAGGGCCCTGTGTACTGTTTTTGAAGAGACAGGTCCCTGTGTACTGTTGGGTAATATAGAGACAGGTCCCTGTATACTGTTGGTAATATAGAGACAGGTCCCTGTGTACTGTTGGGTAATATAGAGACATGTCCATGTGTACTGTTGGGTAACATAGAGACAGGTCCCAGTGTACTGTTGGGTAACATAGAGACAGGTCCCTGTGTAATGTTGGGTAACATAGAGACAAGTCCCTGTGTGCTATTGGTAATAAAGAGACAGGGCCCTGTGTACTGTTTTTGAAGAGACAGGTCCCTGTGTACTGTTGGGTAATATAGAGACAGGTCCCTGTATACTGTTGGGTAATATAGAGACAGGTCCCTGTGTACTGTTGGGTAATATGGAGACATGTCCATGTGTACTGTTTTTGAAGAGACAGGTCCCTATATACTGTTGGGTAATATAGAGACAGGTCCCTGTGTACTGTTTTTGAAGAGACAGGTCCCTGTGTACTGTTGGGTAATATAGAGACAGGTCCCTGTGTATTGTTTTTGAAGAGACAGGTCCCTTGTGTACTGTTTTTGAAGAGACAGGTCCCTGTATACTGTTGGGTAATATAGAGACAGGTCCCTGTGTATGGATAAGGTTTTACTGCTAGGTCTGGACAACACTAACTGTAGTCAGGTGTTGGTATATTCAACATAATAAATTCTTTTATAAAAAGATTCATCATTACGTTATTTTCATGGTATAATTTTGATGGTTTTCATGGTTGAATGAATGTAGAATCATCCAAAATTCTTCTTGTATTTTACAATATAGTGTAACAGAGGTCATTACATATCTCAATGCCTCCGCTGGGATTCCAACCTGGGGTCTTATTAGTCTGATGGTCAACCAATCGAGCTAAAGAGAAGTTCTCTCTAGCCAAGTGGAATATTGTGGCTAGTATTTCAACAGGGTTACAACAGGAAACATTGATCATCTGTTAATAACACTCTGATCACAGGATTACATCACACTGTTCTAGAAGTCAGGGGACAGGCTTACTAAACCTCAATGAAATAAGATATGAATCTTCTCAGTTTCATGTTGAAGAATTGAAATCAACGTCTTTTATCAAATTCCATATTACTGACCTGTCATCGTGCAAATCAACACGTTAAATAGCAAGGTCACATGACAATTTATACTTACCATTCAATACATAGTTTTTTAATGATATTAACCATAGCTAACCAAAAGGATACTGAGCCAACGGAGTGTATAATGTATCATTTAAGAACATAAAACAGTGCTGTGTGTATGGATATGCATGTACCCCCGAGTCAAAATTTAATTCTCGAATGTTTGTTTGTAGAATGTTGATGATATGTTTGTATACATATGTATGTAGATTGTTTGTATATCATTGAAGGAATGTTTGTGTATTAGTTGTATAATCATATTTTTGGAATGTTTACAGTAGAATGTGTGTAGAATGTTGATGGGGTATTCAAAGGATTGAGTGGAGATTTAACTTATAAATATGATACCTATATTTATATATATTGTCATTGAGGTTTTAGATATGTGGTCAGTGTATGGTCAGCATGGGGTCAGTGTGTGGTCAGTGTATGGTCAGTGTATGGTCAGCATGTGGTCAGTGTGTGGTCAATGTGTGGTCAGTGTATGGTCAGTGTATGGTCAGCATGTGGTCAGTGTGTGGTCCAGGTGTGTTAATTTGAATAGATGATATAATCAGTGTGGGTCATCTGTACTGTAATTAGCATGACCTGTATTCTTTAAACTCTCTGTTATGTGTTTGATTAAGAGGTTGTTGACTGTAACAAGAATTTACAGTAGTTGATATTTTTACTGTGTATAGTGATAAAACTGCATGATCAGAACTATAAATCTGTAAATAAAAAAGAAAATCATTTATTTAGATTAAATTCAGTTTGTTAACACTACCTGATCTTGAAACTTGTGAAGGATTGTATGTCTCAGAAAGCTGAGAAACAGACTGATTTGTGCTGATGTGGTTGTGCTCATGGGCAAGATAATTTGCCCTAATTTCTCCTGATGGTATGTAATGGACCTCCTGTATGTTGTTCAGTGAGGTAGCCACCAGCTATTATCAAGACCCTACCTCAAAATTACCCTGGGTGGTCACAGGATAACAAACCCTGCAAACCAACAAAGAAACTGAATATTGTTTTTATATCAACTTTTCATACTAGTCATCATCTTTTCATTTCATAATTGATAAAGACAAATGTATGTTTGACATGTGCCACATGTTTTATCAAAACTTAGGAATTGCTATTCTGAATTATCTGTCCTATATCACACATCTGTCTTCACTAAGAATCTGGTATTTACAACATGTTTCAGTTGATTGTGATTATATACATATGGATATAGACTGGCATCAGAGAGAATTTTAAACTATTTAAGAAAGAAAAAAACAGCACTTCATAGTTTGTGTCAAAATACAAAAGAGATTACCTATAAACTTCAGGTTTTTCTGCTAAGGATTTTGTTTTATCGAAAAACTCAGGTTGTTTAGAAATTCTATGATAATATATAATTCAAACTTTTCCAGACTTTATCAAGAATAAATTTAATTCTTTAATTTCTTAATAAAATTGTCTTTTAAGAGTTGTTCTTTTTGCATAAAAAATGAAGTTATATTCATTGGTGTTTTTACCATGATGAATTATAATATTATTTAGAATAATTGAAAATAATCTTTTGACATCACAATTAAATGTCTCTTTGTAGATTTACAATTTTCCTCTTCTGTTGTTTCATGTACAGAAAATATTTGGATTAAATTTAAAAAAAAAAATAATATCCACCTTTGCTACTATTTGCAGGAGGAGAATCGTATGCGAAGTGAGCGTGATAAACTGATAGAACTTGAGCGTCATCACTACGACACCGAACAGATCCTAGAAACATGTCGAAAGGAGGAGGAGGAAACCTACCTTGATCGTTTCCAACGCGAGCAGGAAGTCCTCGATAACCAAAGACGACTCTTCGAAGACCTGGAATTTCAACAGCTGGAGGTATTAATGGAGTTATTTGAAATAGAGGCATGTTATGGAAACACCAAATGAATTTCACCAATATTCTTTGATCTATTTGAAATCAGCAATACAGGATAAAATGAACAGACAAAAAAATCAGCATAGAAAATAAAATTTGTGTAATCAATCTCTTTTAAATATTTATCAACAAGTGCAATTAATTGCTCAGAAATTCTCATCAAATAACACATGTCCTGTTATTACATTGAAACTCTGTGAAAATGACGTTCAAAACTGAAAAAAAATATGATGACTAGGGAATTTCTTCAAGTGATAGAAATACATGACATAATTTTTTTTCTATTTATCAAGTCGGAGGCAAAGTTTGAGGAAGAAAAGGAACAAATACAACGTAAACTGATGAAAGGCCAAAATGAACTTCTTGAAAAGTACAGATCAAGGGAGGTAAGTCTAAACCTTCTGTATAAGTACAGATCAAAGGGAGGTAAATCTCATACAGTATGTAAAAAGAACAAAGGAAGGGAGGTAAGCCTGCTACAGTGACATGCATCTTCTTTCCTTAAATGTCCAAATACCGTACATTATTTGAAGACATTGATATTTAGAAAAAAAAATCTAATCACTTCATTAATTATAAAAATTTACAAGTAAAAGAAATTAACTATAGAAAATGATTTTATCTATTTATTGGATATAGTATAATTTGATTAGATTTTGAATTCAGCCCCAATTCTCAAAAATATAGAAATTTGAGGTTTCTTTTTCAATTTTCATGATGTAATAATTACCATAACTTTAGTATGCATATCTTCCACTAATTCCCATTGAAAATTAACATAAACTCACTGCGAAGTGTCTGAACACGGACAGAGTAAACAGGCCAAAAACACCCGACCAACACACAACAAACAAATGGGAATAGAAGTGGTAAACCCGCTATGAAAATGAATCAGTTATCACAGACAAACTTGGAAGTAACGCCCTGTATGTGTGGAAAGTCGCTAAAACAGGTAGAAAACGTCCATCTAGCTCAGTGCCATAGATAAAGAAGGACAAATTTCAGGACTTGAGTAGGTACCCTGGGCAGGTAGAGGGGCTCCATATGGGGGTTATTGAGTTCTATTTACATTCATATTATATACAAATGAATAGGAATTAGTGGGAGATATTCATACTCAAGTTATGGTAATTATTACTGAAATGAAAATGACAATCACTTTTCCATAGAAATTCCATGCAAGTAAACTTAGATGTAAATAAGACATTTACTCAATTTTTGTTGATAAATTTTCATTTCATTCAATTATTTACAGGGGTATTATGGGGGATTATTATTGATAAAGAAATATTTTCAAGTAGTAAGCAAGTTGTTTTCATTTGTGTCTTAGTGTAATTAACATGTGTCCTTTCAGGGTCGACTCCAACAAATAGACAACCAGCAGAAAGAAATGCTTAGTAACGTGAAACGGGACATGGAAACGATGGAGCGTCGACGCCAACAGCTGGTGGATGAATTCAGAAAGGTAACCATAGTAACGATGATTACTGTCCTATGTCATAGATTTCAGATGAAGAGAAATGTGAGTAATGCATACTAATTAAGATCATTGATTGAAATTTGATTTAAAAATTTGTCTGCAAGTAACAGCGAGATTGTACAAGAGTTGGTGCACAATTCATTTGATGTCATTTTCATCAATAAATTTCTAAAGCAAATTTTTAAAAATAAAATACATTTGGTATTTCATGACTTTTAAAAAATGTTTCTTTTGTTTATATTCAATATTTGAAAATGATTTTTTAATAAATTGGTATCAAAAGTGGATCGTGTTTCATTAGCAATCATCTTGAACTTGAAATAAGAGAAGAGAAAAATGAAATTGTTTGTTTTGTCCGTTAGTTACTGGGAGACAGTCAACCTCTGTGTGGTGTAGTCTGTTTTGAAATCCATTTGTGCAGAGATTTTGCCTTGTCTTGACAACCAACCATTTATAACCAATCTGTAATTGCTTACTGATATGGTTGTTCTGTAGTTATTGGTTACAAAATTCATCTTTCCTTACCAACCTGTACAATCATATCCTTTTATGTTTCTGTGTTACATTCTGCTTACCAAAATTCCCCCATTTTTGCCTTAACCCTTTCGGCGTCATAGGCGACTAAAGTCGACATGCATACAGGTTGCCATAGGCGACTGAAGTCGACATGCAGACAGGCCGCCATAGGCGACTGAAGTCGACATGCAGACAGGCCGCCATAGGCGACTGAAGTCGACATGCAGACAGGCCGCCATAGGCCACTAAAGTCGACATGCAGACAGGCTGACTTTGGGCAACTATTTTTATATATTTTATTATATACAATTTTATAATATTTGGCGCTGGGCTGTACATTGTGAGAGATATTTGGCGTCGAAAGGGTTAATTTGCTTTACAGAAAATCATTTCCCATTTGAACTTTATTTCAAATTATATGTCTTTTACCTGCATGCTAGTCTCAAACTAACTTTTTCCTTATCAATCCATCACAAGGAAATTTATTTCAAACTGACAGTTGCATACACCATTTATCATGGCCAAATATGTGGGCTTAGGATAATCTTAAAGCTATGTATTACAGAAATTAAAAAAAAGAAAAGAATTTAGGGTTGGAAAGAAAATATCTACTTGTTGAAATTTATATAGGTAATAAATCTTTTAAATCATAGATTTGAAAATTAGTCACAAAATCTCTTCTAGAAATATCAATTTTGACAAAAATTTTCTGTTACTTAAATCTGAGGGTTCAACTTTTCTGCTACTGACCAAGACATTTCATTTACAGGACAAGAAACAGTTAGCTGGTGTGATGAAGAAAATTCAGGAAATATCACAATTCTTGTCTGTTCCTGTAAGTGATGAAATTGTAGATCAGGGCGGACGATCATCAGACAACGAGGTACCTGTTATAACTAACAGAAAATTTGATCATTTTCCATCACATTTGTTTGGTCTGCTTTCATTGTTTCATTTTTGTTAATTGTTTATTTCCAATCAATAAAGCAGTAAACACCCACAATTATGATAAATAAATAAACCACCTGCATGTTATTTTCAGTTTTAGTGTTTATTTTTGTGTTTATTTATTTATCTCGGATGCTTATTAGTTTTTTGCAGAGTTTTCTTTATTTCTAATTTTCCCCTGAGCTTTAACCTTTCTTTGAAATGTTTAGCTGATAATTCGATTCTAGGAAGAACCATGACTTCATCCTCAATATTGTCACAAATTCTGTTGTCCAAGCCAACAATTGATCTAACACAGTTTTACCTGAACTGACATGTTAAAATAGAGAAAGCATAACAAATTAAATACATATATGACTGTAACTTTATTTCAAATACAAGATAAGCTATAAACCTGATCATTTAAAACTACAAATTTTTTTTTTATTAAATATAACTCATCTGGAACAAGTCAGAATGATGTGTAACGTATTATGAAGGGAGGTAACTCTACAGAGTTTAATCATGTGGGTTTTTTCTTTGGTACTTACTTTCATAGCATAGACTTGAACAATCTTTTCAGTGGTCAAAAGTCCTGTAAATTACATACTTATACACATCATTGATTCAACAGTAAGAATTTCTAAAAAATATTTGATGTTTTAGCCAATGTGTGGGTTTGTGATGTGAAAGGATAGCTTTGCTCTAGTAATGGTTTTGATCGAATTTTTAGAAATTCTGTAATTCTTTATTTATTATGTTTCATAAATACAAGAGATTAAGGCACCAATAGTAGGAATATAAAACATGTTGATTTGATCAGAAATTGGAAAAAAGGGAAATTTATTATCTAGTCGGTATGTCATACTCCTGTTTATGTTGAAGTTTACAGTGAAGAACAATAACTATTTAGTGAATAGTTCTAGGTTTATTTGGGCCTGAATAAAGGCCCCTGCCCCTAGAGAAATTTTGTTCTATTTTTCAAAAAAAAAATTCGGATTATCCTTAACAGAAATGATTAAAATATCCCTGTACATCAATTTATTTGAAGAAATGTTGATCACATTGAAATGTCTGTTGAAGCTAATTAAACAGACAACAATGATCTGTCTTGTTTTTTTTTTGTGGTTAATCAGAAAGATAATATTTTCCAATTAGTAGAAAATAACACTGTATTTTCCGCATGGAAAAGGTAGAGTTAACTGTAAAACAGGAGTAAGGAAATCACTGACTCTAATGGTAAGGACATTGATTAGATATCTAATAAAGATATACAGTAACAATGGGTTTACATTTGTTGCTGAAAGACATAAATGTTGTAGACTCAAAGTCACTTCTTTTTTTTCTTTTTCCAGGACAAACAGGATTTGAGGAGTCCTAGCCAGAGTTCACTTCCTAAGACACCTACACATCGCTCAGTGGACTTGTCTCCCCTGCTATCTTCTAGCAACTTATCTCCCTTTCCGAACTCTTTGTCACACTTACAAATATCACCAACTAATAATAATGTGAACAACCTTAGCTTGGGGTCCTCCCCTACGGGCATCACACCTGGGTCCAACTCGGGGTCCCCAAAGGGACTCCATGTACCCAATAGTTCGTACTCAGGTGAGCGGAAAAAATCTACCACACTTCTGGACATTGAGAAAAACCGCTGTCTATTTATGGAACAGCAAGGCAAGTCACCATAGCAACACACAGCCTACATGAAATCTGCTCATTTCAATCCCCAGCAAACAAAGTTTTAATATTTAACCAAAATAATTAAAAAAAAAAAAAACAGGATTTCAACAGAATGAAGATTCTATTCTAGGCCTACTTCCTGGTTATTACTGAAATACCTGTAATTTGTTCTTGACATTTTATCTGCTGTTAACTTTCAATGTAAGGATGGAATTATCTTGATGTAGAATTTATAGCCAATATAAATTACACAGCTTTAATGAGAAAGTATCATGTAACAACATTTATACCTGGTTAGGTAAGGATGAATATGAGCAGGTTTTATGTTAACTGTACTCTGAAGATCAAACAAGATCTGTGCATGAATTCTTATTTTACTTTAAATAAAATAATTGATTTTGTTACCATTGTATGATAATTGTGTAATAGTAATAATTAACTTATGTTAAATAGAATTTTTTTTCAAATTTCATGCATTCTGTATTATGTTTTCTGATCTCACAAATTAGAAACATCAAGTTTGTTTTATTCTAGAAGTGGAAATGTAAATCTTCTTCATTTAATTAATTCTCTGAGATTTAATTCAAACCATTACCTGATGTTACAAAGGATATTGAAGTTTTTAAAGATGGTTGATTTGGACAGATCTTCAGAGAAGTCTTAACATTAGCACATATATATTTAAACAGTCAATCCATGATTTCACTACATTATGTCATCTTATGTGCAAAGAGTTGTCGCAATGTCCGGTCTAACAACTGCTTGTTTTTTAACTTAAAAGTGAGATTATTTATTTTTCTGAACATTAAATGAAGGAAATAAACAACAAAAGCAAAAGAAAAAAAATTGAGTGGAGGATTTTGACTATATTTGACTTTGGTAAAACAATTTATGTTACTTTTGAAGTTTTTGGACTCCGTTTTTTAGACCACATTCCTTCATGGGATTGACTGTTTTTATGTGTAAATAGCACACATATAACACTAATATCACTGTCACCATCAAGTATATGTTGTCATGTTTTACTGCTGATAAACCAAGGAGCCTAATGTGATCAGGGGATTTAAAGGGGGATAACTCTGAGGAGGAAGGGGGATAACTATGAGAAGGAAAGGCTATGATTATGAGGAGGAAGGGGGATAACTATGAGGAGGAAGGGGATAACTTTGAGGAGGAAGGGGGATAATTATGAGGAGGAAGGGGGGATAACTATGAGGAGGAAGGGGATAACTTTGAGGAGGAAGGGGGATAACTATGAGGAGGAAGGAGGATAACTATGAGGAGGAAGGGGATAACTTTGAGGAGGAAAGGGGATAATTATGAGGAGGAAGGGGGGATAACTATGAGGAGGAAGGGGGATAACTATGAGGAGGAAGGGGGATAACTTTGAGGAGGAAGGGGGATAATTATAAGGAGGAAGGGGGATAACTTTGAGGAGGAAGGGGTATAATTATGAGAAAGAAGGGGGATAACTTTGAGGAGGAAGGGGTATAATTATGAGAAAGAAGGGGGATAACTTTGAGGAGGAAGGGGGATATCTTTGAGGAGGAAGGAGGATAACTATGAGGAGGAAGGGGGATAATTATGAGAAAGAAGGGGGATAACTTTGAGGATGAAGGGGGATAACTTTGAGGAGGAAGTGGGGACATTGTGAGGAGGACAGAGGATAATTGTTTATGAATAGGTAGGGGTATAATTGTGTATGAAGAGATAGGGGATAATTGTGTATGAATGGGAGGGCAAAAATTGTGTATGAAGGGAAGGTTATTAAGTGTGTATGGAGTGGGGGGCTAATTATTGTTTATGAGGATAGATTTTGTAAAAGGATTAGATTATTGCTTAACAAATGCTTATTTATCACCAGTAAAATATGAAAACTAGTTCTTACCAACTCTCAGTTGTAGTGTTTGCTATACTCCCATCTTTCTATGTATATCTAGTGGGTATATTTGGTATAACTTCAGTAGCATAGCCTTATACGGTATATAATCTAAAGTATTACATATATCTCTGATGTGATGTATTATATACTCTCTCTATCAGGGTGTCAGGAAACCTTCCAGTAATATCATAAGATGTGCATGCAAGGGATCTCTCAACCTTTTTCTTCATAAAACTTTTTCTCATTCACGGCTCTTTAGATTCTGCTAGAAATATGACATTTGTATCCATTTTTTTTGCAGAATCTGTTTTTAATGAATTATCTATTGATCCTGAAAGTGATATAAGGAGTCTGAAGAGTACAGTCAAACCTTTCTATAAAGGTCAATCAATATTAGGGTGAAAATTGATATCAATATGAGGTGGTCTTTATATACAGGTTAAATTAGTATGTATCTTATGATATTGGGACTAGAAACTAGTGTTCTTTAGATACAGCTAGTTGTTATAAAATAATGGCATTTATACACTTTCATAGACTTGTCAATATTATATATGAATGGCATTTATAGACAGATATTTGTCATACACAAGTAGTATTCATAGACAAGTATTTGTACAAATGCATACTTCCAAGTTCTGTGATCTTTGTGAATCACAGGTAGACAATGTCTTTCCATGTGTTCCACCTCAGTCTGATCAGGTGCAAAATAGCTGTGTACAACGGAGACTCACCTTAATTCAAACCTATAAATGCGTTCTCGTACATAAACATCTACATATCTGTTTACAATAGAGACTTGCCTTAATCCAAACCTATAAATGTGGTCTCGTACACAGATCATCAAAATAGCTGTTTACAATAGAGACTTGCCTTAATTCAAACCTATAAATGTGGTCTCGTACACAGATCATCAAAATAGCTGTATACAATAGAGACTTGCCTTAATTCAAACCTATAAATGTGGTCTCGTACACAGATCATCAAAATAGCTGTTTACAATGGAGACTTGCCTTAATTCAAACCTATAAATGTGGTCTCGTACACAGATCATCAAAATAGCTGTTTACAATGGAGACTCGCCTTAATCCAAACCTATAAATGTGGTCTCGTACACAGATCATCAAAATAGCTGTATACAATAGAGACTCGCCTTAATTCAAACCTATAAATGTGGTCTCGTACACAGATCATCAAAATAGCTGTTTACAATGGAGACTCGCCTTAATTCAAACCTATAAATGTGGTCTCGTACACAGATCATCAAAATAGCTGTTTACAATGGAGACTCGCCTTAATTCAAACCTATAAATGTGGTCTCGTACACAGATCATCAAAATAGCTGTTTACAATGGAGACTCGCCTTAATTCAAACCTATAAATGTGGTCTCGTACACAGATCATCAAAATAGCTGTTTACAATGGAGACTCGCCTTAATTCAAACCTATAAATGTGGTCTCGTACACAGATCATCAAAATAGCTGTTTACAATGGAGACTCGCCTTAATTCAAACCTATAAATGTGGTCTCGTACACAGATCATCAAAATAGCTGTTTACAATGGAGACTCGCCTTAATTCAAACCTATAAATGTGGTCTCGTACACAGATCATCAAAATAGTTGTTTACAATGGAGACTCGCCTTAATTCAAACCTATAAATGTGGTCTCGTACACAGATCATCAAAATAGCTGTTTACAATGGAGACTCACCATAATCCAAACTTATAAATGTGGTCTCGTACACAAACATCAAAATAGCTGTGTACAATAGAGACTCACCATAATCCCAACCTGTAAATGTATACTTTTTGTCAGTTTTATGTGGCTGTGTCCTACAAATGCATTTTAGCCTTTTTACAACACATAGAAGTGTTGGAGGTTTGCTGCAACATTATACATTATGACCCTCCTGGGGTTTATGGAAACTAGGAAAATTTGTAACACACTGGTACAAAAGGAAAGACAGTATGTAGATGAGTAATGTACAATATTGGCTTGATATTAAATTTTGAGGTAATTTTGTTGAAGTACAAAAATATATGTAGTTTAGTTTGAAGTTCTGGAAATATATTGTAGTTTTGTTATCACAATAACCTTATGATAAACAAAATGTCTTCACTGTGACAAAAAATCCTTTAATGAGGTCATGTGACTCCACAGACGGAGAAAATATCGTGAGTCCGTTAAAGTCAGACTGCCATTGTACGTATGATTACTGATCGTGTGTTAGATTGTAATTATAAAGAATGTTACTCCATATCTTAAATAAACGTTATCAAATCTTAATGCACAATCAAAATGACAAAAGCAGAAACGGCAGAATTCACAAGAAGGAAATTCTGTTCTGACATTAAGCGTTGACAGAAATGGCATTTGTTAGCGAGGATGTATGTGCTGAGTATGCACAGTGTGGTAGCTCAAGTCTTCGTGATTAATTTGCTGGGTCTGTTTGAGAGGAGTAGATAAAAATATGTTGTTTAAAGGGAAAGCCTACGGATTATTGAAATCCCTTATCCTTTCTTAATTGACATGCTGTTGTCAGCATCATACTACAGGGCTATTGGCAATATGTCAGAGGACAAACTAATGGATATAAAAATTTAGAAAAAAACATGTATTTATCCGGAAATAAGCCCATGTCAGTAAAAAGACTGTCAAATGCAATTTTATTGTCCTATAATAAGCCCACCCCTATATTTAGTAAGATATACGGTGTCTGCCCCTGGATTTATTGTGGGACATATGACATGAAAAAAATATCCTTTTTTTGTCTGCCCAAAACAGACTATAGCAAAGCAGATTCTAGGGTCTTTAAAACTGTACAGGGCAGATTCCCATCAGTACTTAGGTTAAAAACATCACTGAAATGGACCGAAATTTACCAAAGTATTGTCATAATTAGTTGGTTATGGTAATTGAATGGCAAGTCTTTGATTGTCTCTGTTGTTGAAATCTAATGAATCTGTTTACTTTAAAACGATGATTAAAAAGTACAAAATACAAAAATTCTGTGTCTTCGTTTGGATAAAATGATGAGGAAAGTTTAAATTTTCATCAGTACTTGATTATAACATCATAAATAATGTGTTGCATGTGGTTTTACCTGTGTGCAGGAGGCAACGTGATCGAGCAAGAAAAGAAGAGGATAGAGGAACTGAAACGTCGCGCTGCTGATGAAGGACGCGCACAGTGGGAAGAGCGTAAACTCAGGGAGGCAAATTGTAAAAGTTTTAACTCACTGGAGTCTGAAGATTCAAGTATAGCAAGTAGCTGTGAAACACCGTCAGAGAAGGAGACAAGGTAGGTAACTCTGTTTTTGAAGGAAAGGTAACTCTGTATTTGAAGGATGAATTCTTCGGTAGAAGATATATTGGTTGTTCCTTGAATATTAGTTTTCAGTGCGGAACTGAGAAAGCAGTGTAGAAAAAATTTAAGTCTTTTTATATATACTGTAAAATCATCAATTTCTTGTGAGATTTTTATTCTTGGATTTCATCAGTACCTAGAATCCATGGATTCATATGTCCATGAACTGTTTAAATTAGAATATACAAAATCAATTGTCCACCAAAAAATGCTGTTTAGAAAAAACCCATGAAAATTGAGTTCCACAAAAAGATAATATTTTACAGTATATATACAACATATTATGCTCTTTATTTTGCCATAGTTGTGAAACATAGCAATGAGATAACTATTTGACTCTATGTTTATGTATATTTAATATCGTAACAAACGTGTAACGTGCCTTGTATTATACGTAAATGTCAAACCAGCGGTGCATGAAGCGAGACTTGCTTATATGCATAAGTGGATACATTCTTCGATTTTTGTGAGGGCTGTGATCACCACTTTCATTTTAATCTTTCATGACACACTATTGATGGGTGCTTTGCTGCAAAGTTATGTGATATATGTCTCTCCCTAGGGTAACAAAGAGTAAAGCACTGCCACAGGTTCATAAGGAAGCCTAGAATTTCATTATTAATACAACTTCATATACAGATAGATTTCACAATACAACTTAATATACAGATAGATTTAACAATACAACTTAATATACAGATAGATTTAACAATACAACTTAACATACAGATAGATTTAACAATACAACTTAACATACAGATAGATTTAACAATACAACTTAATATACAGATAGATTTAACAGATAGATTTAACAATAGATTTAACAATACAACTTAATATACAGATAGATTTAACAATACAACTTAATATACAGATAGATTTAACAATACAACTTAATATACAGATAGATTTAACAATACAACTTAATATACAGATAGATTTAACAATACAACTTAATATACAGATAGATTTAACAATACAACTTAATATACAGATAGATTTAACAATACAACTTAACATACAGATAGATTTAACAATACAACTTAATATACAGATAAATTTAACAATACAACTTAACATACAGATAGATTTAACAGATAGATTTAACAATACAACTTAACATACAGATAGATTTAACAATACAACTTAATATACAGATAGATTTAACAATACAACTTAACATACAGATAGATTTAACAATACAACTTAACATACAGATAGATTTAACAATACAACTTAATATACAGATAGATTTAACAATACAACTTAATATACAGATAGATTTAACAATACAACTTAATATACAGATAGATTTAACAGATAGATTTAACAATACAACTTAACATACAGATAGATTTAACAATACAACTTAATATACAGATAGATTTAACAATACAACTTAATATACAGATAGATTTAACAGTACAACTTAATATACAGATAGATTTAACAGATAGATTTAACAATACAACTTAACATACAGATAGATTTAACAATACAACTTAATATACAGATAGATTTAACAATATAACTTAATATACAGATAGATTTAACAGTACAACTTAATATACAGATAGATTTAACAGATAGATTTAACAATACAACTTAACATACAGATAGATTTAACAAAACAACTTAATATACAGATAGATTTAACAATATAACTTAATATACAGATAGATTTAACAATATAACTTAATATACAGATAGATTTAACAATACAACTTAATATACAGATAGATTTAACAATACAACTTAACATACAGATAGATTTAACAATACAACTTAATATACAGATAGATTTAACAATACAACTTAACATACAGATAGATTTAACAATACAACTTAACATACAGATAGATTTAACAATACAACTTAATATACAGATAGATTTAACAATACAACTTAATATACAGATAGATTTAACAATACAACTTAATATACAGATAGATTTAACAATACAACTTAACATACAGATAGATTTAACAATACAACTTAATATACAGATAGATTTAACAATATAACTTAATATACAGATAGATTTAACAATACAACTTAATATACAGATAGATTTAACAATACAACTTAACATACAGATAGATTTAACAATACAACTTAATATACAGATAGATTTAACAATACAACTTAACATACAGATAGATTTAACAATACAACTTAACATACAGATAGATTTAACAATACAACTTAATATACAGATAGATTTAACAATACAACTTAATATACAGATAGATTTAACAATACAACTTAATATACAGATAGATTTAACAATACAACTTAACATACAGATAGATTTAACAATACAACTTAATATACAGATAGATTTAACAATACAACTTAACATACAGATAGATTTAACAATACAACTTAATATACAGATAGATTTAACAATACAACTTAACATACAGATAGATTTAACAATACAACTTAACATACAGATAGATTTAACAATACAACTTAATATACAGATAGATTTAGCAATACAACTTAATATACAGATAGATTTAATAATACAACTTAATATACAGATAGATTTAACAATACAACTTAATATACAGATAGATTTAACAATACAACTTAATATACAGATAGATTTAATAATACAACTTAATATACAGATAGATTGAACTCTTGCTTGTAACAAATGTTGATCTTTCAATTAATCTGAAGATATGAATGGAGATTATCTTTTTATGTCCTTTTCATAATAGTGTTTATTATCATTATCTCAATAAATCTTTTCTTTTTATCCAAATGTGTTTACTTTCCACATCACAATAGATTTATTCTCTTTATCTAAATTTATTTATTCTTAACATCACAATAGATTTATTCACTACATCACAATATATTTATTTTCTACATCACAATTTATTTATTTTCTACATGACAATGGATTTATTTTCTACATCACAATAGATTTATTTTCTACATCACAATAGATTTATTTTCTACATGACAGTAGATTTATTTTCTACATGACAATAGATTTATTTTCTACATCACAATAGATTTATTTTCTACATGACAATAGATTTATTTTCTACATCACAATAGATTTATTTTCTACATCACTATAGATTTATTTTCTACATCACTATAGATTTATTTTCTACACCACAATATATCTATTTTCTACATGACAATAGATTTATTTTCTACATGACAATAGATTTATTTTCTACATGACAATAAATTTATTCTCTTGGTCACATGTGGTTTATTCTGTTATATGTAAGAGATATATTCACTATCATAATGGTCATTAAGAATAATTCTTGTTTAGATTTACATTTATTTGTTATAACAGATCGTAAATCTGAGAAGACTATGAGCTACAGAGCCTACAATAAAATTACTAGTCAGCCCTACAGATTATATGTGAGAAGCCTTGTAAACAGCTCCTTAAGACAGTCAAGAGATACAAAATCAATCACTTTTGTATGACAAGCCTCTCAACCATAAACAATTAATGTCAGATCAGGCCGTGTTTCAGAGACTCACATTCAATTCCACTGATAGCTTTTCTCTGTTTATTATTTCCGCTATTTAAGCAAAAATTTGCAAGTGGAGGAAACTGCATGTGTAATTGATGTAATTTTGTTGGACATAGCTTGATGTAGTTGTATCTCCTCTAGTAAATATCCTTCATATTTCTGAGATCAATATATGTTTGCTGAATACTGATTCTTGTTTCAAAAATCATCTCATTCTTGCTGTCTTATTTACCTCTCCTTCATATTCCTTCCATCCTTCCTTCTTCGTCTTTTCGCATCCTTTTTTCCCTCCCCTTTTTTTGTTTTCACTTATACGACAATAACACTCACTCTAGCAAACTTTTTTCATGCCCTTTAGTCTTATTCTAAAAGCATTGACATGCCAATCGGATTCCAAGTACCTAATCGTCTGAAGTCGTTCATTTGTAATTAAGGCTAAGCCTGATTAACGAGCTGATCAGGATGGCTTTGTGGACAACAGTATGAGCCCCTGGTTAGAGTTCAAGTAAGAAGCTTCTGGTCTCGGGCAGATTTCGTAATTCACCATTTTGCTGTCTTGTTAGCTAGACACAGTGATTCAGTTTATTTCACTTCCCACTTACATTAATTGTTGATTTCTAATGATGTATTCAATTTGTCTTTCTTAAAAAAAGAAAGTTGACAAGATAATGACCTTGACCTTAGTGGAAGCTCTGATAAATGTGTCCAGGAGCCTGACTTTAGTGACCTTGACCTTCAGTTTTACTCAGGAGAGTTTGAAGCATTTTACCATAGTGGTTTTAATACATTTTACCATAGTGGTTTTAATACGTTTTACCATAGTGGTTTTAATGTATTTTACCATAGTGGTTTTGATACGTTTTACCATAGTGGTTTTAATACGTTTTACCATAGTGGTTTTAATACGTTTTACCATAGTGGTTTTAATACGTTTTACCATAGTGGTTTTAATACATTTTACCATAGTGGTTTTAATACGTTTTACCATAGTGGTTTTAATACATTTTACCATAGAAGTTTTAATACATTTTACCTTAGAGGGTTCAATGCATTTTATCTGCAAGGGTTCAATGCATTTTATCTGCAAGGGTTCAATGTATTTTATCTGCAAGGGTTCAATGCATTTTATCTGCAAGGGTTCAATGCATTTTATCTGCAAGGGTTCAATGTATTTTACCTAAGAGGGTTCAATGCATTTTACCGAAGAGGGTTCAGTGCATTTTACCTAAGAGGGTTCACTGTATTTTACCTAAGAGGGTTCACTGTATTTTACCTAAGAGGGTTCAATGCATTTTACCTAAGAGGGTTCACTGTATTTTACCTAAGAGGGTTCACTGTATTTTACCGAAGAGGGTTCAATGCATTTTGCCTTAGAGGGTTCACTGTATTTTACCTAAGAGGGTTCACTGTATTTTACCT